ATTAAAGTGAGTGACCAGAGCAGATGATGTTAAAGGCTCATATTCACGTTCATACTGTTATTTAGGGTTTCTACTAACAAATGTTTAATGTTGACATTATTTTCTCATCCTGGCTGTTGCTGGCGCAGCGCTAACGCGATGTGGAGGTGTGGCCAGGCCTCACTGATTGCTGTACAGAAACACAGCTTTCTAACTTTATGCACTGATTTCTGTGAAACTGGATCAGATTTTATGGAGAGAATATTTTCTGTTTCTCCCTCTAAAGTCCTCCGGCTGCTCTGCCTCCACGCGCTCTGATTTATGGAGTTTGTTGAGAGAGATTTTCAGTTGATTCTGGTTTATAAATGTTGTGGTTTAAATCTGGATTAATGTGTTTAAGCTTTGGACCTGTTGAAGCAGCAGAGCAGGACGCTGTTGTGAGGTTGTGTTGTTTTATAATCCTGAAAGTCAAACAATTTAACCATTTATATCATTAAAAACTTAAACTAGAGAATCTCGTAATGGTTACTGATTATGTTTGAACAAAGACCTGAGAACCACAGAGGACCCAGTAAGTAATTTGTGTATTTGGAAAACCGCTCTTACTACTACTCGTTTGATTATCTGATAAATATGTAGTCACAAAGCTGGAAACGGTTTCTCTTGACGTTTTGGAGATACATGGTTTTCACAGGACAGAAACGTCATGCGGGCAGGTTCAACACCTGGATGCTGTTGGAGCAGCTCGCTAATAAACGCTCGCACGTCTGTGTTCCTGCTGTAATAAAACGGTCAACAACACGGAGCCTGTTGCTGTGGAAACTGATGCTGAACAGAGGCATGAAGAAGCTGTGAGATGAAACAAACTCCCACACAGAAAAACCTCCTGTGTTCTATCGGATGAGTTCTCTGGAAGAAAAACGTGACTCTGAGAAACTGCAGCTGATTCCCCGAGTCCTGCCGTCATGTGACAAACCTGCTAACCTTTACCTGGCAGCAGCTGTTGTTTCCACACAGGTGTTGATTCCATTCACGTGTTGGTTCCACACACTTGTTGGTCCTACACAGCTGTTGTTTCCACACAGATGTTGGTTCCATGCAGCTGTTGGTTCCAGGCAGATGTTGGTTCCATGCAGCTGTTGGTTTCACTCACGTGTTGGTTCCATGCAGCTGTTGGTTCCATGCAGCTGTTGTTTCCACACAGGTGTTGATTCCATTCACGTGTTGGTTCCACACACTTGTTGGTCCTACACAGCTGTTGTTTCCACACAGCTGTTGGTTCCACTCACGTGTTGGTTCCATGCAGCTGTTGTTTCCACACAGGTGTTGGTTCCACGGAGCTGTTGGTTCCACGCACGTGTTGGTTCCACGCAGCTGTTGGTTCCACACAGGTGTTGGTTCCACGCAGCTGTTGGTTCCACACAGCTGTTGGTTCCACGCAGCTGTTGGTTCCACACAGCTGTTGGTTCCACGCAGCTGTTGGTTCCACACAGGTGTTGGTTCCATGCAGCTGTTGGTTCCACGCAGCTGTTGGTTCCACACAGGTGTTGGTTCCATGCAGCTGTTGGTTCCACGCAGCTGTTGGTTCCACACAGGTGTTGGTTCCATGCAGCTGTTGGTTCCACGCAGCTGTTGGTTCCACACAGGTGTTGGTTCCATGTAGCTGTTGGTTCCACGGAGCTGTTGGTTCCACGCACGTGTTGGTTCCACATATGTGTTGGTTTTACGCAGATGTTGGTTCCACACAGGTGTTGGTTCCACACGTGTTGGTTCTACACAGCTGTTGATTCCACTCACGTGTTGGTTCCACACACATGTTGGTTTTACGCAGGTGTTGGTTCCATGCACATGTTGGTTCCACACGTGTTGGTTTCACACACACATGTTGGTTTTACGCAGGTGTTGGTTCCACACAGGTGTTGGTTCCATGCACGTGTTGGTTCCACACAGCTGTTGTTTCCACACAGGTGGTGGTTCCACACAGGTGGTGGTTCCACGCACGTGTTGGTTCCACGCAGCTGTTGGTTCTACGCAGGTGTTGGTTCCATGCAGCTGTTGGTTCCACGCACGTGTTGTTTCCATGCAGCTGTTGGTTCCACAGAGCTGTTGGTTCCACGCACGTGTTGGTTCCACGCAGCTGTTGGTTCTACGCAGGTGTTGGTTCCATGCAGCTGTTGGTTCCACGGAGCTGTTGGTTCCACGCACGTGTTGGTTCCACATATGTGTTGGTTTTACGCAGATGTTGGTTCCACACAGGTGTTGGTTCCACACGTGTTGGTTTCACTCACGTGTTGGTTCCACACAGCTGTTGTTTCCACACAGGTGTTTGTTCCACACACATGTTGGTTTTACGCAGATGTTGGTTCCACACAGGTGTTGGTTCCACACAGGTGTTGGTTTCACGCAGCTGTTGGTTCCACAGAGCTGTTGGTTTCACGCAGCTGTTGGTTCCACACAGCTGTTGGTTTCAGACAGGTGTTGGTTCCACAAACGGTCTGTCTGTTCCACGGAGCTGTTGGTTCCACGGAGCTGTTGGTTCCACACAGGTGTTGGTTCCACAAATGGTCTGTCTGTTCCACAGAGCTGTTGGTTCCACACAGGTGTTGGTTCCACAAACGGTCTGTCTGTTCCACAGAGCTGTTGGTTCCACAGAGTTGTTGGTTCCACACAGGTCGTGCTTCTACGCAGTTAGTAAACACCAAGAACTTTACTAAATGTGACTAAATGTGCAAGATCCACTTACTTGCTTTGGATGTCTCTTTTTCTTAAAGCCGGCATTAATCACTAACTCTGGTTTGGTCCAGATAAATCCTTAATTCAGGACGTCAGATGAGAAAAACAGTCGCTCTCTCAAAGCCAACAGCTTCACAGAGAACGTTCTGCTCTGCTCAGGACGCCATCACTACATTTACATTTACTCATTTGGCAGACACTTTTATCCAAAGCGACTTGAGGAACAACATACAAACATCAACACAGATCTACAACTGACAGTACAGACTAGTAAGAGCTAACGGCACATGTCGCATCAGTGGGGTAAATACTGAGGGAAGGAAGTGAGAGGTAACAAAAAGTGCAATCAATACTAGATAATTGTAGGGGGTAGAAGAAGAAGAGCACAGGAAGTGATGTCAGAGGTGTTATCAGAGGAAGTGTTCTCTGCAGAGTGTTCAGGAGCTTCTTGGAGTCAGAGAGGGACGCCGCTGCTCTGATGGCGTGCGGCAGCTCGTTCCACCATCGTGGGGTCACAGATGAGAACAGGGACTGAGGTCGCTTTGTGTGAAGGGAGGCAGAGCCAGGCGGCGTTCGTTGGAGGAGCGCAGTGGCCCAGAAGGAACGTAGGCTTGGATTATGGAGTTTAGGTAGATGGTGCAGACCCAGGAGGAGCTCTGGATGCAGCATCAGGGACTTGGATTAGATTCTGGAGGCCTCGGGGAGCCAGTGGAGGTCCCTGAGTGATGGAGGGACATGAGTCCTTTTGGGCTGATCAGAAACCAGACGGGCTGCTGGGCTCTGAACCATCGTACCAGAAGCTGTGGGGCATACAGGCAGGCCTGTAGTAACTAATAAATAAGTTAAAAAACGGTTGCTATGGCACTCGGTGTCTGACTACTCTACACATAATTTACAGTCCTTTGATTTGACTTTAAAATGCAGTGTGTATGTGAGCTTGTGTCATGAAAGTTTTTACAGGACCTCGGTCTCTGTTCTCAGCACCAGGACCCGTTTGCGGAGCTTTCAGTCAGATCGGGTGTGCTTGTTTTTATTGAGCTATAAAATGTACAATACAATATTTGGCACACATGTGCTCACAAGAAACGGAGCACACGGGATAGAAAATAATAATTATAGGGAAAACAAAAAAGACAATAAATAAACAAACGAAACGGTGATTAAGGGGCGTCATTTGATTTAAAGTCATTGATAAAATTAAGCAGTGTTTTTGCCGGATCCTGAGCGCTTCATCAGGCGGACAGCCGGAGGCGTTTTATGTTGAAATCCGTCACCGGAAGTGTGAGTGTGTGCGTTGCGTTTGAAGCGCGGCTGCTCTGACAGCAGGAAAGTAGTGAGGAGGCGTCCGTCCGTCCGCACACGAACAAACTGGGAAAACACGCCGAAGGGACGAACGTCCCGTTTAAACACGGAGATTTAAGCGAATAAACCACCGGGCGGATTTTAAAAACTACTTTACCTCCGTTTCGGAGGCTTGAGGACGGTTTCAGGGGGACTCTGTGGATCCAGTCCGCAGTGAGAAGCGCTGTTTGGGGGCTGAGGCACCAGCAGGGGAGGGAGGCGGGGCGGGGGGACTTTCACAAGGCTAGGCTAGGCTAGGCTAGGCTAGTTAGCACGCTAGGCTAACAGCTTCATCCTCCTAGAAACCACCGATCTTTGGGAAGATTAACAGCAGCCTGGAGTTAAAACGGCGGCTCCGGAATCACCCGAAGAGAAAGAAAGAACGATCTCAGCGCCGGAAAACCTGTTGCCTGGCAACGTTAGCGCAGCTAGTTAGCATAGCTAGTTAGCTCCTCAGCAGGGATGAAGCTAAACGCATCAACAGGCAGGACTTAACTCACATTTACACGCTAACACAAAGCCATTAGACATTAATTAGCATTTTAATTAAGTCGTGCGGCTAAAGGCGCCTGCTGCTGGTTTCTGAGACTTTCATTTGTGATTTATTTCTGTTTTTGTCGGTTTTTTTTTTTTTTTTGACTTCTTGGGCTCAGCTAACTTTTAATTTCCGAGCTGTCGGTGGGCGTGTTGTTAGCATGGAGGCTCGGCAGCCCGGCAGCAGCAGCAGCAGCAGCTCGGAGCGGTTACATAACGCAAGCAGGTCGCGGGAGAAGCTGCTGAACGTCCCCTCCTCAGCCCGGCTCTGACAGACAGACAGGTACACAGACAGACAGACAGACAGACAGACGGACAACAACACTGCAGCATGGAGGAGGTCTGAACCTGCTGGGATACAAACTCATCACGGAACATTTAGCTGAAGATGGATTCAACTCCGCTGATAAACGGTGAGAGGAGCTGTGTTTACATGCTGTGTGCTGCAGCCCTGCAGTTTGGAGGGAAGCAGCAGCAGCAGCGTTGGTTGCAACAGGTGTGTTGAAGCTGCTGAGGCCTGCAGCTCTGTTGGTTTTATCATGGTGATGAAATCTGGGGTTGATTTGTTTTCATGCAGCCGGAGAGCACGTCCACACCTAACCCTGATTATTATCAAACCTTTATTTAACCAACAGAGGCTCATTGAGATTAAAATCCTCTTTTCCAAAAGCGTCCTGGATGAAGACAGGAAGCAGCAACTCCTTATCTAAAAGTTGCAAGAACACAACGGTACAGATATTATAAAAACAGGAACAACTAACACGCTGAAATTATAAACAAAAGAGCAAAGTGCTCATTTTCAGCTTCAACATCTTAATTAGTGGTTGTACCAGAAAAGGTTTACATGGTTTAATTTTCAAAAAAACACCATACTGCAGCTCTACGCTAACCTTTTTCCCAAGGAGCACACAAAGACATTTAGGAACACACTGAGAAAAGTTCAAGTAACACAGAGTTTAACAAACTATTTATTATATACATATTTATACTACGTGTGTGCTCCTTCTCTTTGTGTTCAACTATGGCGTGAAACCATCAGAGGACTATGGAAGTGAAGCACCTGGTGTCTGTACACTCGGCATTGGCCTTAAAAATTTGTCTAAGCCTTTTAAAATATTGAAACAACAGCTTTTAAAACACAGATCAGTCAAGACAAAAAACTTTACTGGGATTGGTGCTTGTATAGTTTTTGAACCAGAGACAGATTCACGATCCACCAGCAGCAGACGACTGAACAGTATTACAATCAGTAAAACAGAACAAGGGGAACGCGTTGCTCTCAGCTGACGGCTAGAAGCACATACTGGCAAACCTGTGCAGCGGAAATCTGCATCTTTCCACAACACGGAGGAGAAACTAGTATTTAGATTATCATAGTAACCTTAGAGAAAAGGTTCAGTTTTAATCTAATAGTATACTGTTGCTATGTTAATATATTAATGATTTAATAGGATGCTATATTGCTCAACACTAGTATACTATTTATTCCAGTTGCACAAAACAGCAGTTTAATGGTTTCATTCATTAAATCCTAGCGCAAGAAAAGTGGCCTACGTTGGTCTCTAACTTGTTAATGCTCCTCAATAATCAGAAGCTTTCATGCAGAACGAGTTCAACGTTTGAAAGTTTACTGTAGCACGTCAAACCTTTTTTATGTCCCGCCCCATCCAGGCTGTGATTGGTCAGTGAAATTGATGAGCGCATCGATTTTATGAACTTGAACTTTTTATAAGGTTCAATCCCCCACTGTGACCCTGAGCCAGACACTTAACCCCTCGTTGCTCCAGAGGCGTGCGACCTCTGACACGTAGCAATTGTAGGTCGCTTTGGATAAAAACGTCAGCTAAATGAATAAATGTAAACGTAACTTCCTGTTTAGCCCTCTGTTTACTTTAAATGAAGGGGAAAAAAATAACCTTGCAGCTCTTTTAGATTTTCCAATTGTTATCGACTGAAAGGATAAAACTCTGATAGTGGCGTTCACGCTACGTGTGTCACACACTACACCAGCTGACAGCGGCTGAGTCACCTGACGCTTGTCTCCAAACCACGTTTTGTCAAGAAAACACACGTGAAACGGGAAATAAGCGATCCTGAACAGGAAACAGCTGATTGTTATTATGAAGACAAAGAATCAGCAGGGATCGTCTCAGCTCCAGAGAGCTGGAGGGAGTAAAAAGGTGCAGCTCCCGACTCCCAGTTACCTCCTGACTGTGAGGTCACAGCTCACGGCCCAAAAAGAGAACAACAAACGCACGTGGTCACATTTTCAGCTGAGGACTGCGGCTTACTTTGGCTTCAACTCAACAATCAGTCAGGATTTCAGCTAAATGCTAAAGTTACTGTTAGCTTGTCTGAGGTCTGCTGGCAGAACACCGGCTGCTTTCTGATCAGGCGCCGTCGTGCTAAGTTTGGTTTTACGGTGGACGGACGGTAACATTACAGAGTTGTTGTTTTCTTTAGCTTGAAATAATCCCAGACTTTGGACACTTTCTTCTTCGTCACTCGCTGTTTTCTCTCTTCCTCCACTTTGCAAACAGCGCCGTCACAATCACGTCGTGTTCACAGCGTCAGCGCGATGTGCGACGGTAATAAATGTCCCTGCGAAACACTGTGGATGGATTAAACAAAGATTTTTTCGATTAATCGATTTAATCGATGAATCGTTTCAGCCCTCATGACTTACCTGCGGCGTGTTGTCGTCATCCATGTGCGTTGCTTGTATTTATTTATTTTTGCTCCCATTCAAAAGTTTTATGCTCATGATTCATATCGTCGCTGGATAGATCAGTTCAAGGGTTCAAACTGCTTTCCTTTTTACTTAAATTCATGTATTTATTAATGTCTTTATTTTTATTAAGAAAAAAATATTTAATTTATTAATCCCTTTTGGAGAAAACAACTTAATAATATCCTTACTTTCTGTGTGTGTGTATATGTACATACAGTATTTGGTCAGCTTTATTTGTGCTGGGACGTCTGAGCAGATGTAAACTTCTTTTAAAGGATCAGTTTTCTATTGACTGGTTTGGGATTGAACCTCAGATTGACGGCACTGCTGGGAAAAAAAAAAGTCATTACAGACGTGATGTTGACCGTTTCCATGGAGATGGGTTGAAGTCTGTGATGTAATATTCACACGTTGTCACGGCAACACTGACGCACTGTGATGTGATTGTGTTTGTGACGACGATGTCGTTGATCTGAGTCAGAAAAGTACCGACAGGAAGAACCCTGGTGGAGTCACAGTAGTACTGTAGTATATGTAAGGCCGTGTGGAGGCGTACTACAGTACTACGGATACTACTGCTGGCAGTACTGACGCAGAGCGCCTCCTTCGTGCTGATTGACAGACTGAAGACAGGAAGCAGAAACCACAGTGGAGCAGGATGTGGTCAGGAAACCGCACTCTTCTTCTCTGGTGGAGAAAGTGGTTTGCTTCTCCATCCTCCCTCTCTCTCCCATTGCTTTTCTTTGTTTTATTTTTCTAAAACATTTAATTCTACTTTAAGTTTAAGGATAAGGAACCTAATTTAGGAAAACATGATCACATCCAACATAAAAGACAACAACAGACATTCAGATCTTAGTGCTGCAAACATCTTTGGTGATTTTCAGGTGATCAAACTGTGAAACGTCTGTCCAAATGAGCTCCAGCTGATCCCAGAACTGGAAGAAATCCAGGCTTTGACACAGAGCTGTTGCAGGAAACTAACTTCACCAGGTTGCAATCATAAAAGTGCAGCTCTAACACACAGTTTAATGATCAGAACAATAACTTACATTTTTATAGCGCCTTTGAAAAGACCTAAGGACGCTTTACACATAGCCCAACAAAAACAACAAACAGGAGGTCATTATAGATTATATGCTTTGGTAAATATGCTATTAATCCGCCCGTACGCTCTGTTATATTTACTCCAGTGTTTGTGTTTGTGCTGTCCGACTCTGACTTGTTCATGCTGAAACACTTCCTACGTGCTTGTGCCTGCGATGGCATGAAAAGCATCCGGAAAATGTTTTATTTGTGAATAACAAGTCACTCCACTTTCACCTGAACACCTGCTGAACTCAGGTCCCAGGTTCAACCCCTGTAACTGCAGCCTGGAGACCAACTCTAAAAAAACAAGAACAAGGAGTTCTTACTTGTGATAGTATATTTACCTGCAGCCTCTTCTTAAGGCAGCGTGTACTGATCGGATGGACTCATCTGTGTAATAGATTCATTATCTTGATTAGTGATTAATTGTTTGGGGATTAAAGTGGCATAAACCATCAGCAGATGAAGGATTTGTACACTAAATCACTCTTGTGCAACATTTAAGAAACCAGCATGTAAACTCACAAGCATTGTTTAAAACACAATATACAATATATGTGAGTTTACCTGGACGGGCCCGCAGGTGTTTTTGCAGCACAGGTGTAGGTGAAGGGAAAGGGAGCAGATACAAGTAGGCTAGGCTAGTAAAGAAACACTAAAATAGAAAGGCAATGGTGAAATTAAGAAGTGCTAGAAATAAGAAGGACTAACCATCAGATCAGTTTTTCCCTGCTGTTCCCTACAAATATACCTACGAGGCCGTTAATATTCCTGGGCGGGCCGTGGGCGGCTGTTAACATACAGTATCTCCCAAAAGTGAGTCCACCCCTCACATGTGTGTGTAAATATCTGATTCTATCTTTTCATGTGACGACACTGAAGAAATGACCCTGTGCTCCAGTGTAAAGTAGTGAGCGTGCAGCTCGTAGAACAGGGTAAAGTGGCGTGCGTGCAGCTTGTAGAACAGGGTAAAGTAGTGAGCGTGCAGCTTGTAGAACAGGGTAAAGTAGTGAGCGTGCAGCTTGTAGAACAGGGTAAAGTAGTGAGCGTGCAGCTTGTAGAACAGGGTAAAGTAGTGAGCGTGCAGCTCGTAGAACAGGATAAAGTAGTGAGCGTGCAGCTTGTAGAACAGGGTAAAGTAGTGAGCGTGCAGCTTGTAGAACAGGGTAAAGTAGTGAGCGTGCAGCTCGTAGAACAGGGTAAAGTGGCGAGCGTGCAGCTCGTAGAACAGGGTAAAGTGGCGAGCGTGCAGCTCGTAGAACAGGGTAAAGTAGCGAGCGTGCAGCTCGTAGAACAGGGTAAAGTAGTGAGCGTGCAGCTTGTAGAACAGGGTAAAGTAGTGAGCGTGCAGCTTGTAGAACAGTGTAAAGTAGTGAGCGTGCAGCTTGTAGAACAGGGTAAAGTAGTGAGCGTGCAGCTCGTAGAACAGGGTAAAGTAGCGAGCGTGCAGCTTGTAGAACAGGGTAAAGTAGTGAGCGTGCAGCTTGTAGAACAGGGTAAAGTAGTGAGCGTGCAGCTCGTAGAACAGGGTAAAGTGGCGAGCGTGCAGCTCGTAGAACAGGGTAAAGTGGCGAGCGTGCAGCTCGTAGAACA